TAGCTTATGTGTGGTGAGCGTTCTGGCGCACTATGGCTGCCGTCGCATCATCCAGGTGGATGCTGCACATTGGTGGTGGTGGAGGGGAGTCCCCATTACCTGTAAAGCGCTTTGAGTGGAGTGTCCAGAAAGCGCTATATAAGTGTAAGCAATTATTATTATTACACGAGAACCCACAGTTACAAAGCAACTGTTACGGGTAACTCCATTCCTACGAGGCTGTTTGTGGGGGCCATGTTTTTGAAAATCCCAGGCTTCTGTTATCAGACGTCTAGCTCTTGTGCCTCCAGGCTACAGGGAAACCACATTTCAGAGAACACAATGCCCCCTGGTAAGAACAAGAAAAGACCGTCTCAATTGTAGAACTGCAATTTTTTTGGGCCACTGTATTGCCTACAGCAATCCTGCTTGTTCTCTCAAGACGCTTGGTATCTCTGCGAAACGGACCGGACTGCCCTCCTTGTGTCTCCTTACACTCCCAACCGGGCCAGAGCGTTCAAAATCTACACAAAGGAAAGGTGAACTCAAAACCCACTTGCACAGTCTCTGTGCACAGACAAATTTAACAACAGGGCAATACACACCAGTGGTCTGAGTTTTTTTAAATGCACGTATAAATAAAATTTCAGAGTGATAAATACACTGTACAATGTACAATGGTGTGCAGTCATGCCACAGAAGTATTAAAAATTCACAGTGTAAGCTTGCCTAATCTCCGCTGGGCACACGGCAGTGGGATAAACATTTTAAGTGCAGAGAATCCATGATGAGAAAAAAAAAAGTATTTGGGGCTTTATTCGGATTTCTGTAAATTGTTGCAAACGAAGGGCTATATTTAAGTGGTTAATTTAAAAACATCACTCATTCCCAGCAGAGAAGAAAGTGAAAATACCTCCAATGTATATTCTCTCCTTTGTCATGTTCCTCAGCAGAGCCAAGAAGACAATAGCACTGTTGTCTCCCTGTTAGCCTGGGGGGTAATGGAGTCTACAGTTCTCCAGAGCTGCCCTGCTGTCTGATTTGCAGCAGCCATTCCATTTCTTCACTGTAGGAAAAGAGCGGTCTAGTTCCAGGCCCTGCTGCTACCACACTTTCATCCTGAGGAAACACCAGCTGGAGAGCTGTGCAATGCAGTCGAAATTTCAAGACAAAAGCACCATCAGATCCTTCACCACAGCAGCCAAACAAAAAGCAGTGTTTAACCCTTTGCGTAGCACTGACTGAAAACAAAACCGGACGATGGTTTTTCGGCCGGTCGAAAGCCAGTCTGCCCACACAAAAGCACCTTCCATTGCTAGCATGGCACCTGAGGTGTGGTGCCAGCGCTGCCAGCCTGAGGTATGAGAGGAGCAGATCACCCGACTCCACACACAGCGGAAGAAGAGAGCACAGTGGTCGCATCTGGCCCCTGCAGACCGGGGGGTTCTGAAGGATGGCCATCCTTTACAATTAGCGATTCTGGCGGAACAACAGGCAGTTAAAATGTGCAACATTTATTACGTAGCTCATTTTGCCCACCTGTACCAAGCAGCGCTGTTCTGAAGCACTTCATTAGTAAAAGGTCTCAGGAATGATCATTGTTCCTCATAGACATTCGAGAGAAAAACTACAGGGGCACCAGATTCAAGCATTCAAAATCCTTAACAGCAATAACAAAGCCAGCTGACCACTGAAACATTAACCAGAGGAAACAAGGGTGACTATGTGACAGTTGGGTTAAAAGCAACAACAGGAGGCACTTCATTACCCAAAGGCTCGTGAGAGCGGAGAACAAGGTAGCCAGCCTTGTGGTTAAATCTGGTGCCCTGGCTTCTTCCACAAAACGGCCAGGGGACATGCTTGCATCAATTAGCTACTATCGGGATAGAGGGGCCAAATCACTTCATGTCCCTTGTAACCTTTCAGATATTCTTAAAACTTAACCATTAAATTATTTCTCTTGTTCACCAGTAAGGGCCAAAGATGAAACAATCAGACAAAACAGAGATGCCCAAAATTCAATACACCTTGCAAAGAGTTACTGCACAACCAGTATACACTATGTTATATACTATGTAATACATACATTTGGATGATCATGTAATGTTACAGTCCGTTTCCTTCCAGTCAGTTACAGAGACCCACAGGATTACATACAGCAGCTTACTTATTAAGAATCTTCAAGTGTTGGGCTGATCAGAGATATTTCTGTGTGTAATCGGGATTCCTCTGAGGTCTTATTTTCGCCTCAAGGTTTCCTTTTTAAACGGTGTTGATGTGAGGGCGCCAGACCCAAGGAGCCCGTCTCATCTCCGCCCACTTCCTGCCGCTTGAGACGGGGCTCGCCGGCCCGCTGCTGCCCAGCTCCAGCGCCCCAGGCTGCGCGGGTCTCACCCGTGAAAGAGCAGAGCACGGCCGCGCGGCCAGAGCAGGAGAGGTTGGCAAGAACACAACGAGCCCATGGGCGAGGGACAGTTTGTGCAGCACACTGCACGGCTCCGTTTCACAGCTTTCACACACTGCGGCTACCTGAGAGTCACACTGAGTGACTGCAGTCGCAGAGAAGGCTCGGTTCACCTCTGCGATAGAATCCCGAATCGAGCAGCTGTGAGGATGATGGATTGGACTGACCGAGCAGGAAGAGCTGGAGTCAGCTCTCCTCATTCCGGCTCCATTAGCCCAGGTCTGCGCTTCCTTCAAACGGGACGTCCAGCAGGGAGGCCGGCGCTGGTCTCTTCCCGGCCTCTCGCTGCCACGCCGAGCGAGACCCACAGAACCTCTCACGGCAAGAAAAAAAACCTCTCGTGTTCAGATGGTCTTTTTGCCTCCTCTGTCACTGCAAAACCACCAGGCTGGAAGACGACTCCATCTAAGAGGATACGGCAGAGCTGCGAGACCATTTGACAGCCCAGGAGGAGCATTTTCACCTCAGCAGCCCCATGTTTTCTGCAGCTCCACAGCACTCAAAATACACCCAGGCCAGCTTCCGCCTGCACACCAGTGGCAACACACCACACCTTTACCAGTGTTCAGGTTCACCCTCACCTCCCTGGCAAGGGGAGAGCGACCGGAGATACGTTTAAAACTGGAATAAAACAAAAACCTTGGCCACACGGCCAAGTTGTTTAGCAGATGGACATAATCGATCTGTCAGACGAGCAAGGCTTATGAGAAACATCAAAAAAAAAAAAAGAAATCTTTTCTGAACATCACACACAGCTCTGTCCTGTCCTGGAGATACACATGCCATGGAAAAAAAAAGACTTTTGTGGCTATAACCCAAGGACGTTAATCAGTGTAGAACAGGGATGTCTGCACTCAGAAACCAACTCTCCGCCACAACAATGTCATTATTAAAAACATTTGAGTTTGTGCAGCTTGTAGTTAACACCTTCTGAAGCGGCGCTGCGTGTCTCCTGGCCTGACAGAGAGCTCCCAGTCAGGATATGGAGGATGTCCTCCATCTGATAGGCCCAGGGCTGGTAACGGATCCCGTCTCTCTTAAATAAATACTGAGGAGGAGGAGGAAGAGGCGGGCTGTGACGTGCACTGGCACAAACCCAGGACTTCCACACACACTGGCTGTGATTACTCCACTGTCACTTCAGCGATAAACGCAAGGGGATCTCTCCGACATCGGCTGATATCGCACCTCTGACAGCCGATACCCCAGTGTCAGCTCCGTGGGGGTGAGGGACTCTCGGCGGCCCCGCACCACACAGCAGAGCCACGCCGTCCATCCGGCACAGAGCCGGGCCTGCTGGTGCCACACTAACAGAAACCGGGGTACCCCGCTACCCCGCAAAACCAACAGCGCCCATGCACATTATACACAGGGCATGTTCGTTCACACCCAGAGCACAGACCAAATCTGTGAACGCCCAACCGGGTCGGGACTGGAGTAACGGTCCCCTGGAAAAGCCCGTTTATTCGGGGGTGCGCGGGGGAGGGGGGGTTCCCCGAAAAAGGGTCACTCCCTCAAAACCGCCGTTTCACTGCCTCGGAAATATTATGTACTGTGCCAACCAGATGAAACGTCGGCAAACAATTAAAAAAAAAA